GCTGGAGATGCTGAAAATCTACTTCCATCACACGGTTTCTGCTCTAGAGCTGTCAAGGGCTCCCTATTGCCTCTGGGATCCAGTTTCAGCCCCCAGCTCAATGACTACTGGGTCCGCAGTGGAAGTTCAGGCTGTGGGTGGGTTTGCTCCAAGTAGCGGTAGGCAGCTCAGGGCTCATTAATTAGGCCTCCCCAGACATGTAGAGGTTAGTGTCTGCTTAGGCATCATTAGATCTGGTACCTGGTTCCCAAGCATCAGGCCTCCCAGCCCCTGGACATTAGTCAGTGTGAGAGTGGGCCCAGTGGGGACATGCTGTTTCCTGGACAGCTTGGTCTCCCCATCTCCAGAAGACAACACTGTGTAGAACCCAAGTCTGGGGTCAGGAATGGCCCCTGGCCTGGACCCCCAAGCTCCCACCCAGCTGGTGGGTAGGGCCGAGGACCCATAAATGAGATCTGCTTCTTCCAGGCATTGTTCTGGCTCTTGAGGGCAGGATCATCGGAATCTGTGATCTAACATCACGAAGTACTTGGAGTAGACAGGAGGGGGACTTTCTCTGGGCTGGAGGTCGGGATCCAGATCTTCCCTGGAGATTTTTTCAATTGTCTAATGCTGAGTGCCCAAGCACTCAAACCACAGACTCCCTCAGAAGGTGGGGCACAGCAGAGGCGGCAGCCTGAGGCGGGGGTGTCGTGGGGGTTGGTGACAAAATGGCTTGGGGAGGGGTCTTCAGGGTCTGGAAGTGGGCTGACATTGTAGGGACTCTTTCTTTGCAGAGGGCCCTGCTCAGACACCCTGAAGCCCTCCAGAACTCACACCCACACTCCATCCCCACTCACATCCCCGGTCCCATTACCACGTCATACCTAGGACCCGGTTCCTTGGCAGCTTTCCTTGGCCACACTCTCATCTCATTTTTTTCACCACACAAACTCTCCCATTCAAAGCTGGAACATTCTTCAACTCCCTGTTGGCTACTCTGGAAGAAAGTCCCATGATGGTCCCAGTTACAAACCACAGCCCCACCCCCAAGGCCAACATCAATAAAACCACCCACCCCTGCACCAATCATAAGAGAGACCCCAGTCCTTTCCCTGAAGCCCACAGTAAAAACCCAGTACAAACAAGCATTTGGATTTTTTCCTTTGCAGATTTTTTTTAATAGACATAGTCTTGTTTTTCTTTCTTGTTTGACAGTAAACATTGCAAATATAGAAATATTTTTTTCTGTACAATAGAACGACTACAGTGTACACTGTGGACTTGGCTGGCAGACAGACTTTGAAGTCTAGTGCCCTTCCTGGGCAGCCTCGACTCCGTCCAGTCTCACACCGCTCCAGGATACGTCCAGCATCAGCTCTACCCCTCTTTGGTAGCTTCTGGAGGAGGACGAAGAGACGGACTAGACAAAGAATCCACAGAAAACCACAGACTGAGAGCTCATGCCAGAGGGGGCCACACCCCCCACAACTGGTGTTCTATGTTTGTTTAAAAGAACTTTTATTTTTTTTAAAAAAGGAAGAAAATAAAGTGGAAAAGAAAGAAGGCCAAGAATCAAAAAAAAAAAAAAACAAGGGGGGAAAAATTCCCCACCCCCCGCCCCCCATTCCCAAGCCACAGTTTTCTTAAGTCCCTTTGTGTGTGTGTGTGTATGTATGTGTGCGTGCGTGTGTGTGCGCACAGTGTATACATGGATACCCCACTCAAACCAATGAGGGGATCTCCAGCAGATGACAAGCACATCACCGCGAATGTCAATATCATGGTTGTTGTCGGTAACCAACCCCCTCCCAGCTGTCTCCAAAGGGGCTGGGGCTTTAACGATCCTTGTTATGTGTTGTGTGTGTGTGTTATGTTTTGAGTCTCTGGGTTACAAATAGCTGCTGTGGATCTTGTGTCCTTTTTGGTCCAATGGGAGTCATGAGTTTTGGGAGGGGGAGGGGTGGGAGAGGAGAGGGCCGGGGCGGGGCCAGGCAGCAGGGCTCAGGACTTGTGCTGCGCAGACACGCCCTTCCAGTAGTCGAGGATGTCATGCAGATCTTCGTCTTTGGCGAACTGGACTTTCTTACGCAGGGCGTGACCGGCTGCCATGAACTCTGCATCTTCCTTGTGCCTCCTGCGGTTCAGTCGGAAGCGTTCCCAGATGCTCTGGGAAGCCTTGCAGGTGTATTCGGGGCTTGAGGAGTAGCTCAGGTTATGGTACTGTGGGGACAGCTGGGAGTAGGCCAGCTCGCGAGCGCGCGCGCGGGTCAGCGGCTCCAGGATGGATACTTTGCGCCCGCCCAGGCCCTCGTGGGGCGGTGGGGGCGGCGGCGGTGGTGCGGGCGGCTCGGGATAGGAGTGCCGGTGCTCACCGTACTGCCTGAGCTTCTCGGCTTCTGCGCGCAGGATGGCGGCGGCGGGTGTCACAGTGAGGATGGTGTCGGCTGTGGGCGACGTCTTCTCGATGTACTTGGCCTCGCCCGTGGCCTCCGGACGGAAGGCGCGCGGACTGCGCACGGAGGCGCTGGGCGCGGTGCTGGCGCGTGGGGGCCCCGGGGCGGCCTCCACGCTGTGGTGCCGCTGAAGCCCGCGCCCCACTGAGTCCTTGTACACGGGCGACAGGAAGCTGTGCTTGCCGGCCAGCGGCTCAGACAGCAGCACCAGCTGGGGCTCTGCAGTGGACACGGCCCCGGATTTAACCGCCTGGAAGGAGGTGGACTCAGACTTGAGGGCGTCGATGCAGTTGTTGATGATCTGGTTGACCTTGTCCACCTCCTTGGCGATGGTGGAGATCTCAGCCACCGAGCCCTGGCTGTCGGGACCAGGCCGACCCAGCTCGCAGTCACGCCGCTCCGTCTGCTCAGCTGTTCTCACCTCGATGTAGTTGCCCTTGGTGGGCTTGGGTGGCTCACCGCTCTCCACCAGCTTGTATTGCTCCACCTCGCTGGCTGCAGCTGATGCGGGCAGGTAGGGGATGCGGGTCACAGCTTCAGGGCCCAGCAGTGGACCCTGAGGCAGTGGTGGCAGGCCAGGCGGCTCCAGCTCGGGGCCGTATTTGAGCTCAATGATGGTCTTCTTCAGGCTGCCAGCTGCCGTGGCCACTTTCTTGTGCTTCTCCTCTTGACGTCGCCGTTTTCGAAGGCAGTAGTAGACAGCTCCCAGCACAAGCACCATCCCGAAGAGGCATCCCAGGATTGTCATGATGTAGTGGGTGGCGGTGGAGGGACTGGGCACGGGGCCAGGTGGGCTGGGCGGCTTGGGCAGGCAGATGGTGAGGCAGGTATGGTTGTGGCGCAGACCCAAGCTGGTGGACACAACACAGTAGGTGTAGTTGATGAGTGTGAAGAGGTTGGTCAGGCGGATCTCCTCCTGGGCCTTGGTCAGTCGGGACACGGTGGATGACTTGCTGTTGTTGAATTGTTCCAGTGTGTACATGCGGGTGAACGGGCTGGGCAGCTGCACCATAATAGTGGCCGAGTTCTGCGTCAGCTGCTTGACCTTGATGAGTGGTCGGGCCTCTGCCTGTGTGGCCAGTGTGGGCAAGGCCACCAACGGCGTGGTGCCATCCCCGGAGAAGCACTCTTCTTCAGAGCAGGCCACGTCGCTGGGCTCCGGAGGCGGTGGTGGCGGTGGCAAGTGTCTGGGCCCAGGGCGGGGGATGCCAGTCTCGGCCGCGTAGGAACTGTCAGTGCACACAGACTGTAGCTTGCCAAGGATGCTACGGTGGCCGTGGCGGCCCTGGCCCAGGAGGAAGTAGCCGGAATAGAGCGGCGGGGACTCGCACTGTACGCGGTCATACGTGTGCGTGGCGTTGGTGAAGGCAGACAGCCATCGAAGGAAGCCCAGAAGCTCACAGGAGCAATAGAAAGGGTTGCTGTACAGCTCACACACAGAGAGCTTGGCCAGGCCGGCAAAGGTGGCACTGTGCAGCCGCTGGATACGGTTCATGGACAGGTCGATGTTGACGATGTTTGGACACTCCCAGAAGGCGCTGGGGGTGACCACCTCGATGAGGTTGGCCTGCAGGTACAGGTACTCCAGCTTGGTCAGGCCGCGCAACACACCCTCAGTGAGGTTGTGTAGCCGGTTGTAACCTAGCTGCAGCACCTGCAGGTTGAACTGGCCCGAGAAGGCGCCATCCTCGATGTAGCCAATCTCGTTCTTGGTGAGGTTGAGGTACGTGAGGTTGCCGAAGCGGCTGAGTGAAGCGTACTGCACGCTGCGAATGCGGTTCTCATTGAGCCGTAGATCCACGATGGTGTTGTTGATCTGCTGCGGGATGGCCTCATACGGTGGCTGGTTCTGGCTGCAGATGGCCAGCCACACAAAGCCCTTATCGCCTTCAATGAGCCAGCAGTCCCCGCGCACCAGCCCACCCGCATGCAGCAGGGCGCATGCTGCCACACACACCCACAGTGCACCCCCGGCCATGGGAACACCTCGCGGGGGAACCCGCTCGCCTGCCCAGAAAGAAAGGGTGGGGCCAGCGGCCCCCAGGGACTGAGAGACACGCTCAAGAGTGTCCTGTCCCAAGCCACATGACAGCATGGGGAGCCAGTGCGCCTTCCTCATGCCCGGCGGCCTTCCCCATCGGCCTGGGTGTCCCAGCAGCTGGACCCAGCTCCTGCTCAGACGTTCCTTCTGCAAGACAAGACAGGGAGACAGAACAAGATCACAGAGAGCAGTTACAGGTGGCCAGGCTCAGCCCTTCCGCTATAAGAACCAGAGATGTAGCAAGGGACAGGGAGACAGCCCACAAGGGTCCTGGCCTGCATCTGCTTCACCAGGGTGAGTCAAAAAGTACTGCTACTAAGGATCTGGTTCATTCATGGGTTTATTCCTAACACCGTCTTTAAGCATGCTTCTGCCATCAGCGAATAGCTGCAGATAAGTTTTCTTCAATACACTTGTCTTGTTAAGTGCAGTTGACTCAATTCCAATTCATAACAACCCTGTATAGGGTTTCTGAGCTGCAGCTGGTAGGTTTGAATTGCCAACCTTGCCCAATGCTTACCCTACACTGTCACACCAGGAATCATTAGTCTCATTCAAAAACAAAAGTTCATTCAAACCAGTGGCTTCCAAGTGGATCTGCTAGGCCAGCTCAATTCAAGGCAGAGAGATCGGCTCTGACAGTTAGGATGACTTGTTTTTCAAATTTCAAATGGATTATCTTGATAGATTTTTCTGGAATGACACAGAATGACCATAGGAGCTTACTAGGAAGAAGTTGAAGAAAAAGAAATCTGAATTGGTGAGAAAAAGGCCAGGAAAGTTGCGCCAAAGAATTTTTCCATCCTGACAACGCACCTGCTCATTTCTTGGAGGATAGCAAGGGCTGTCCTATAAGAATGTCATTGGGAAGTCTTATCCATCCACCCTATAGCCCCGAACTTTATTTTTTTTTTAATTAAAAAAAATTTTTTTTTAAGGTTTTTATTGTGGATTGAGTAAAAGTTTACAGGGCAGGCCATCAGTTTTACATTCAACAAATCATACACCTTGTTTCATTACAATGATTATAATCCCCTTCATGTACCATCAGTTAACAGTATTTCTCTCTATCTACTTTAGGTGTTTTTTTTTTTTTTAAAGAAAAACAAAAACACCACTCAGGCATAGACAATAATTTACATCTCCCAAGGGCACATTCTGGAAGTCTGCTCCTGGCCACCAGCTCTTAATCCCTCTCTTCCCATAAATCTAGAGTCCTCAGCCACTCCCCCTCTCCATGTCCCCATCTCTGCCTCCATCTCTGGTGTTGCTGCTTCTCTGGATAAGGTCCTGCATTCTGCTTGTGTACTTCTCCCTTGATGGTCCTAGGGTCCTCTGTTTTTGGACTGTAACATTAACCACTCCCCCGTTTTTGTTACAAAACTTCTACCTTTACAGTCGCAATTAGTCATGATAACAATTATTCACTATTGAATCATACAAATCTTATGATATCTTTTCACCAGACCCATCTAGACAAGATGAAATCTATTCAGTGGGGACTCTTTCTTTC